TAGAATGACAGCCAACGTCCATATGAGAAGGACTGGAGAGAGACAACCGCTTTCCTCATGTCAGAAGAAAAAAAGGAGACCCAAGAGAAGAGACCCAGTGTCCTCCCCTGTGGGCAGAGGGAGGATGGGGTCTGCTGCCTGGACCCCACTGCCACAAGCAGGCCGCTAGCCTCCCCTCCACCTGCAGCCCTGGGCAGCTTTGCCCTTCTGCCAAGGGGATGCCGGGGCTGGGAGCAGAGCAGCGGAAGCTGAGGCTCCCTGTGGGAAGCTCTTGACCTTCCTGGAGGAAGAAGGACGCACAGGCAGCTGAAGAGAAAGGCCCAGGCATTTTAGCTCAATGGGAGCAGAAAAAAGGGAAAGAACAGTGCCTCGCGTTGCTCGGAGGCGTCAGTCAGAGTTCTTGCGAAAGCAGCAGATGTGACTCAGGTACAAGTCACTGGAAGGGCTTTTGATGTAAAAGAAGCCTGATGTGAAGTTAAGAAAGAGGGAGGGAGTGGAGAGGCTGACACCAAAGAGACAGAAAGAAAGACCCCTAATTGTCTCTTCAGGCTCGACATTTGCTGAAGGAAAGTCAAGGTTTAAACGGAAGGTTTGACATTTCCTCATACTTCTTTGTCGTCATGAAGACACATGGTTTTGATGGGAATTTGGTCCTGGGTCTCTGCGGCTACTGAAGGAAGGTGTGGGGCAGGGAGCTCCCTGGGCAAGGCGCGGCATTTGACCATGGCCTGCACCCGCCATGCTACCTCAAATGCAGGTCCGGGGTGGCCAGAAGCAGAAGAGCCTGAAGAAGAAGCAAGGTCCACCCTCCTTGCTGGGGACCCTGGGTGACTTCCTTCCCTCTGTGAGCTTCAGCTTCCCGTTTGTCAAACAAAAGGAGTGGGATCCTCCGCCACCACTCACAAGGCCCCAGAAATCCTGCAAAGTGTCATGTGACAGACTGTCACTCGAGAGAGCAAGTGGAGGGGCTGGGGATGTGGCTCAAGCAGTAGCGCGTGCGGCCTGGGTTCGATCCTCAGCACACATACAAAAAAACAAAAGATGTTGTGTCCGCTGAAAACTAAAAAATAAATATTAAAAAATTCTCTCTCTCTCTCTCTCTCTCTCTCTCTCTCTCTCTCTCTCTCTTAAAAAAAAGAGAGAGAGAGAGCAAGTGGAAGTCTGCGTTGATCACCTCTGAGAACCCCTGCCCCGAGAGGAAGCAGGTCCCTGATGCAGCCCCCTGAGCAGGGCTGATCTACGCTGCACCAGTTGATCCTGTCCAGGGGTCCCAGGCCACTCTGCCTTCCAATCACAGCCCCAGCCCAAGCCCTCATCCTACCCAAGGACTACCAGAATTTCCGCCTAGCTGAGTTAGAGAGTTGGGGGCCACATATGGCTCAGAGGTCTGAGGATTCTGGAGTTTTCTCTGAGGCTTCTCAGGGGCCCTGGCCTCTCAGAGCCAGAGGACTCTAAGAAGACCCAAGGAATGTGCGCCATACTGGAAACATGGGGCACTGGATTTCAATACCAACCCTCCCACTAGCTGGTGAGTCACCTTAGTTAAGATCCTTGGATTCTCAGGACTTCCGCTTCCTTTTCTATAAAGGCTGGACTTCTATTATATCCCAAGAGTCTTGGGTCGTCTTCATGGTGAGTGCATGAGTATCACCACTTTACTGACATTTTTCCAGAGTTGGTTATCCACCAGTCTTTGTCTGGAGCAGTAGAAATCCTCAAGAAACGGCCAGGCCAAAGGATGTGGCTTGTGTCATTGGTGGGGTCCTAGGGAGCTGACTCTCAGGCCCATTCCTTCACTTCCTGGTCAGGCCAAGCTCAGCTCTACAGCAAAGCTTCCCCTGAGTACCTGGAAGAGGTGGCTCAAACAGGATGCTCTCAAAGACAGAGGGCATTTTCACATTGCCAACCCTTGGCGGGGACTCACAGGGTAAGAGGCGGCGGCAGCGGCCTCTGGCCCAGCCAGTGCGATGGCATCTGGGGCTCACACACCTGTGTACACTGGTGCCAATGGGTGCACATCTGTTCTCAGCTTGGCCATGGTGCAGGTCAGTCTTTTCTTCCCTGTATTAGTGACGGGCTCCTTCAGAATCCACACAAGTCTGACTCTTCAAGACTCAGCACAGCTTCCTTGCTTGTGGGCACAGGCTTGGGAGCCGAAGTACCTTGGTAAAAACCCAGTCTGCACTGACAAACTTGTGGCCATGTGCAGGGTACCTTACCTCTCTGGACCTTCATTTCATCATCCACAGAATGGGAATGAGAAAGCATGTCTACCTCAAAGGACTGCTATGGGATATTAGTGGGTTAGTTAACCTACGTAATCCTCTGAGGCTACTCTTTGGCATGCAGTTTTGCTCCCCCAAAGTACTAACTAGCTTAGTTGGCACCACCAGCACCACCACTGTCTCCCATACTCCCTGAAGCACCCTAGGCTCTCAGAGCCATTAAAGTCCCTTGACATTTTCAGTTTCACTGCTCAACCTTCCCCTCCAAGCCAGCTCCTACTCATCCATCCAGGTCAAATGTCACCTTCTCTGTGCTGTCCCCAGAAACAGTTACCCTCACATCTGTACTCATCTGTCAATAAGATCTAAAGGCAGAGGTGTCTATGCAATGCATTCCCAGCATGTCTGACTCGTGGCAGGTACTTGACACATGGCGGTACTGGGATGATAGAGGAAGTAGCTGTCAGAGCCCAGGATGGCTCCTCAGAGTGGGCTTAACCAAAAAGGCAGACTAGCTCCATCCCAACCACCGTCCAATGTCCATGCAGACCCATCAGAAAAGCCTAGGCCTGAGGCATAGTGATGGAGCTATCGAGTCTCCGTCCATCCCCAGACCACTCTCCTGTAGGGCCCCTCCAACCCAACATGCCCAGTCAGAACTCCCACAACTTGTTGGTGCCCCCTCCAGAGAAACTTCTCATCTGCCCATTGTTTCACCTCCCCACACTCTGGATCCCCACAATCTCTAATTGTTTTTGTCTCCCCAGAGAAAATGGAAGATGCACAAGGGTGGGTACCATGCCTGCCCATTCTATGGTTCCTCTGCTCATATGATGACACCCGGCTTAATATACCTGGTGGAAGGGCTGACAGCATCAGGCACCCAAAACATGCCAAGCAATGCACTGTGCAGGTTTGTGTGGGGCTCATGTAGCTATTACCCCCGACTTACAGATGAGGAAGCAGTCAGGAATGCACTTGCCCCACGGTACAGCTGCACGATGCCGGCACTCTGCCTGCCTTTCCCACGCACCAGGCTGCCTTCCAAGCCTGCCTTCCAAACCAGCGTAAATGTGATGTCAGATGCTATGCTCTCTTTAGTCTATTTTATCTTTATTTAAACTTTTAAGGTATTAGATTTAAGGAAGACAGCCCAGAAATGTCCAAACAGCTCCAGCATAATATCGTTATTATCATCATGATTATTTCTCTTGAGTCTCCATTTGTGGGGAAACTGGATACAAATCCATCTTGCAGGCTGAATATTGTACTATTAACCCAGCCATCAGTGAGGACAAGAGGGTGGAGACCGGGCAATGGTGGGGGAGTTTGGCATGGGGCAAGACCAATGGCGAACTTGGAGAGTAAAGTGGCACTGGTAGCACCACTGGCCTTTCTAAACACCTACAGCACCAGCAGTGTCGAGAAGTCAGCAGCCATCACAAGGCCCACCGTCAGCCGGAGATCTCACCAATAGAGGCTGCAGTCCACTCAGGAAGTACGTCCACAACAAAAGCACCACCACCACCAACAGGGAGCCAGACACACTATAGGAGGCCTGCTGGGCTGAAGGTGAGAGCCCAGGAGAACAGGCCATCGACCAGAGAGAGCCGGCCAGGGGGCGACCCCCACCCGCTGCTGCCTTGCTGAGCTAGGCATGCACATGCTCACGTGAGCCTCTGGAGCCAGGACCTCCGGGCTGAGTCTCTTCAGCAACCTGCTGCTTGAACACGAGAGAACCGACCACTCCCCAAGAAAGTCCTCCCATCGCTAGATGGAATGACCCTCACCTGCTTGCACTGACCTTCAGGACGACTCTCTTCCCCACGGCAACCCTTCCAACGTTGGAATTCAGGTCGCCCGAGTCTTCCCAGACCAAATATCCCATCTCCTCCAACAAGCCATCATTTCTGGCCTCCTTTCATCCTAGATCCTGTTCTCTACTGAAGCTACTGTCCCCTGGCATACATTCTGAGGTGTGACAGTGGCACTTGGAGGCTGGGCTGGCCATTGGTTTTGTGGTGTGACTACAGAGCCTTGACCACCACAGTCTGACCTTGCAAAAGCTTCTCTGGCAGCCAAGGATGCCTTCGAAATTTCCTGCTGCTGCAGAAACCATGATGCCTGCTGCAGAGCTTCTGAGGCTCCTTGAAGAACACGAGGCCCCAAGGGCCAGAGGGTTTGGGCAGGCGGGGCCATAGGCAGGTGTGTGGCTCTGCCACCTGCTGTAATTGGAGCATAGCCGCTTTAGCCTTGATTGACAAGTGGGACTCTAGGTAAGTGTGAAGCAAGAGCACCACTAATTACAGCGTCTGCAACCACGAGTGACCCCTGACATTCCACTCTGCCTTAGTCCTGTGCTCTCTCTAGGCCTGAGCTCCTGCATCCCACAGCACACCCGGGCTCAAGCCAGCGCCAGAGGGAAGGGGCCACCCTGCCTGGCTGGGAGACCTAGGGCTCTTGGCTCTGCTGGGGGCCTGACTGGCTTCTCTTGCCCTGGGGCACTCTGGAGACCCAGGTCTGCACTGCTCATTCAACAGTGTCTTGGGGAGGCCCAGAGCCCGCACACGGTAGTGGGGAAACCTCTGTGCTGTGTAGGCGACGTCAACATTGCTCAGGGCTCGGTGTCCTGAGGACCCAGAGCTGGGACTCCCAGCGCCCTCGGAGGTGCCAGGCCCTCCCAGAGCTCCCAGGAGGTGACCCCGCAGGGGTGGGGCGGGGCCTAGCGGTTCCGGGGCGTGGCCTGGGCGGGGCGTGGCCAGGGTGGGCACTCACAGGGCAGCGTCTCAGCGCTGTTCTTCTGGATCATTATGCAGAGCTGTAGCACCAGTTGGGGGGCGCTCTCCAGGAAGGTCTCCAGGAGGCGCAGCATGTTGACGTCTGCATATTCGTACATCATAGCCCAGTAGAAGCGTCGCTGGTGTTCCTTCTGCCGCTGGCTCTGAATCCCCAGGTACATGGTGCGGATATACCTGCAGGGAGACACAGGACAGAACACAGAGGCGTGGGTGGGGTGGGCGCTGCAGAAGGACCCGGGCCATCCCTGCCTGTGCCGGCCCCCACCCAACCACGTGGGCGCACAAGGTCCCGGAGACTTGCTCGGGGCAGATCAGAAAAATCTGACATCTGGAGCCCTAGGCGAGTCCTTCCCATCCTGGCCTCTGTGCGCTCATCTGGAAAATGGGAGAGTGGGGCCAGATGATCTTCCAGGGCCTACCACTTAAGCATCTTAGTGAGCCCAGAACGCAGGTGGACTTCCTCGGGTTCAGGATCATAGGGAAGCATTCCAAGAGAGTTGACACTCTGCTGCACTCTAGAGAGGGTGGGAATTAGCCTTTGTGACATTCCACTAAGTGCCACTCACTGACTGGCCCTACCTAGGAGGTGAGTTGATATGGCAGATGGGAAAGCTGGAGCCCTGAAAGTTCATGCTCCCAAGCTGGAGGGCTAGTAAGAATGGCAAGTTACCCATCACAGCCCATATGTCCCCCTACATCAGGGAGCCCGCAAAGGAGCCTTCATCCCTGGTCAGTCACAGATCCACTGACCCCTCTGTCAGGATGACACCCAGGCTCCACAGGGGAAGCAAAAGGCAAAGGAAGCAGGTCCAGGTGGAGTGCTTGCAGGTCAGCCCTGCGTGCTGTGGGACCTTGAACCAGTCTTCTAACTCTACCCCTAACTCACCTTCTGTAACGAGGGAGCCTCATAGAGTGTGTGGCCCATTAGAGATGAGCAGGTGGGTACCCACCTTGGGTAAGCCTCACTTTTACCTGAACTTTCTGGAACTGTATCTGCAAGCCCCAGTCAGGCAAGAGGACAATTTAAGGTCCCATCAAAACCCACTAGTGGCCTCTGAGGCAGGGCCAGGGTCAGGGGTGTAGGCCTCAGAGGCCTGTCCAAAAGCATCAGGAAGTTCAGCTTTGTGGGTCCAGTTAGGATTAAGCAAGGAACTAGTGCCATAGCCAGTGGGAGAGAACCTGGCATCCCCGGGGAGATGTGGCCACACGCTCCGTGAATGTTCTGCCCACATTCCTGAGCCTCCCAGAGTGCCGTGCCAGTATCAGACCTGGAGCACATGGCCAGCACCCTGTGGAGGCCCAGCTGTCCTCAAGTATTTCCAAGTGCCCAGTTGGGGCTACAAGACGACCCTCCCTGTCCCCACCATCACTACCGGCCTTGTCTGCATTGTCGCTGGTCTGCACTGCCCTCTCCCGCCCATAACCGCCCCTCTTCCCGCAGCAGCCAAAGTGCTCCTTGAAGAGCCCACGTATGGCCCTCGCTCCTCTTCGCTGACCCTCCACAGCTCCCCATGGTACTTGGAGTGATCCAGAGCTGTCCTCGTGGCCCAGCACACTGCCACCTCTCCAGCCTCACCTCTGTCCTTTCTCTAGGCCTCCCTCAAGGATACTCCAGGACATGTGCCCACTGACTCAGAGGTGTGACCCCCCCAAAATGTGCTGGCCAAAAATAAAAAAGAGACAAAGTACTGGCCACGTGAGCCCCCCCTCCCCCCAAACGTCTGGGACAGTGCTGTGGCATTCTCTCTGGACCCCTAAGGCCTTTGGGGGAGATTCTGGTGGCTATCCTGGAGAGACCCACCCGAGGATCCAGGACCCACACCTCGTCTCGCTGGTTACACCCCTGGAGTGAGTGGATGCTGTTCTACTGAACATTAAAGCAAGGTGCACCGCGGTGCCCTCCATTAGGAGGGACATGGGGAAGGTCCAGGCACACAGGGGTGCCGGCCTGTGGAGTCCCAGCATGCCTCTTGGGGCAGGTCTGCTCGGTGCCACTTAACAAGTGGGAAGCTAAGGCTGGAGGGGAAGCCAACACAGAAGTCTCGTTCTGTTCCAGGTGTTGTCACCTGCTGGCTGTGGCACTTCCCATGAGTGGTCCCTCTGTCTGGGCCCCTGCCTGTGAATTCATACCATCAGGGAGACGGGGGGAGGCCCAGGAAGGAGAGGGAGTCTGTGACACTTGATCTGTAAAGCTGCAGGGTCACCAAGGGGTGGCTGGAGGGGTCAGAGACACACACAGAGAAAGAGAGAGAAACAGATGTGAGAGACAGAGGAGGAGAGGAAATTGAAGGAGGAAGGAGAGAGGACAGGGATGAAGGTTTGGGGCCTGAGGCCAGGCCTGCTGGGGAGATGCTGGGGACAATGGGGGCTGGGAGGCCCCTCTGGGGAGCTATCATCGTCATTAGCTTTGGAGGGGATGGAGAGCCAGGCAAGAAGGGCAGAGGGGCCAGATGTGGTGGCAGCTTGGGAAGGCAGGGCAGCAGGGGACAAGGATTCACTGGCTAGGCACTGAGACAGGGCCTCAAACCCAGAGGCTCCGCAGCCACGTGCAGAACAGTCAAGTGTCCGATGGAGCCCTGGTGCTCTATTGGTGTCACCAATCAGAACTGGTCCCTGATCCAAAATTCAGCTGTACCCATGTGCCATGGCCATAGACTCACACCAGGAGCCTGATCACAAGTGCACACTACCTTGGGGTACACTCTGACCACGCACTCTGTCTCCTACCTTTGCAAGTGGCCCAGCTGCTGAAGGAATGATCATGTGGCAGAACCAAGCCCATCCACCTGGCCCCCGATAACACCAGCACTCAGGTTCCCTGGATCTGTCCTTACCAGAGAGCCGCTCTCCCTCCATCCTCAACCTTCCCCTGGCCACACGCCCTGCTGCCCCACAAGGTGGGGGAAAGGAACACAGTGAACAGAATGTGCTGATTGGCCTGGAAGACCTGCCAGGAGAAGCCGGGCTCTCCCCCGTGAGAGCACCCAGGTGTGGGAGAAGCCAGCGGGAGGGCAAAGCCAGAATTGCACCCTGAGCTGGTTACAAACAGATGCCAGGCACAGAGGACGCCACAATCACACCGGAGTCAAGTTTGGCAGTGCCACCCCCTGCAGTACAGCAACCTGCACCCAGGGGAGCACCAAGTTGGAGTCAGCTCAGGAACCCTCAGGGCAGGTGCCTGCACCCCCTCCCCTGCACTCTGCTCTTCCATCCTTCAGTCCTTGGTCCCCAGCAGACAACGGGGAGTGCTGGACACTCTCTGGAACTAGGTCTGATCACTAACCCATTGCCACCTCCACTTTGCAGGTGGGACCCCCCCATGCCAGAGAGTATCAGCCCCTGTCTCAGTCACTTGAGGACCATGGGGAAGAGCCAAGGGTCTCTGACTCCCTGGCCTTGATGGTCCCTGCAGAGCACACGTGAAGCTCCCGCCCCTCGTGTCCTGGCAGCTGCCATCCTCAAAGGGGCTGGGATTCCTCCTCCTCTGAACTTCCCCAAGGCCAGCTTCCCTCGTGGTCTAAAGAGCTTCCAGGAAACAAGCAGCCTGGAGGCTGGGGACACTGCACCTCTCCTCTGAGCCCCTGTGCCTGTCCTCTCTGCTCCCTCTATCCCGTTTCCCACCAGTAAACTCAGTGCTAGTCTGGGAGACCTGAGGCTGCCCTCCTGCTGCTGCCTCTTGCTGGGCCTCCAACTCATGTGCAGACAGATTTGGCCCGTGGCCACACGGTGGCGCCAGACACTAAGCATCGCAGAAAGGATGCTCCACACGGGTGACCTCATACCTAAAGGCCCGCGTCTCCTCTGCGACAGAGCAGGGTGCAGGGGCCGTGGGTGAGGCTACAGCCCAGAAGTGCTGGGTCCCCAGGGGAAAGCCCAGAGCCCGCAGGAGGAACACTGGCTGCCACACCTCCAAACTCCCTGTTGTCCCCTTCCCTGGCATGTTCCAGAATGCTCACCTCCCCCAGGTAGGAAGCTCAGGAGAGAGAACACCCAGCCTTCCTCCTGCATTTGCCCCCACCTCTTATTGCCCTCCTGTCCACCACCTCTCCCCCAGAAGCTCTGGATCATGAGGTGCTGGTGGAAATGCAGATGGGCCATGGGCGGGACGGGTCTGTGGCCTGCAGGACTGTGTGACCTTGAGCAAGTCACTTCCTGAGGTTGGGGCAGGCTGGAGGCTCTCTGAGCTTCCCAACATCTCACAGCTTCCTCCTTCAAGTGACGGCTTCCCAGAACTCAAAATACAGTCCACACCTTCACAAATAATAGCACCTGGTGTTTGCACACCTCTCCTGAGCTGGGCACTATTCTGAGCGTTTTGCATGAATGAGTCAATGTGAATGGATTAATGGCGCGGACCCGATTCCTGCAGCACTCCATGAGGAGGTACAACGCTCACCTCAGCTCAGTGAACTGAAGCACCAGGCGAGATGCACTCCTCAACTTACCAGCCTTGTGAGTGGCCAACCAGCGCTTCATGCCCAGTGGTCTGGCTTCAAGGCCAGTGGCCCTGCCTCCAGCCCACACACCCCTCAGGTTGACCCGTTTGGCTCTTGCCTTCTGAACTTTGTCCAACCTACAACCCTCATGACAGAGGAGCAGAGTTTGCCCCAAATACGGGGCTCCCTTCCTGTTCTGCCACATGCTGTCATCTTGGGGGAACATCAACAAGCCCTAATTTTCCTCGTCTGTGAAACACCTTGTCCAGACCAAGGCTCAGGACATGTTGGACAACTGGACACATGCCGTCTTGAGCCCTCAGAGGTCCACATGCCTGTGGGGGACAGGTGGGGACAGAGGTCGCTGTGCAGGTGGCAGCACATCCTGCTCCCTGCTCTCCTCTTGTCTCCTCCTCCGCCCGCTCTGCCCATTTCCTCCCCTAACTTTATAAGCTGTGGAACTGTTTGAAGCTCCTTAATTCTGCCTCGAGGGGTACTCTCTCGTTCCCCAAGCACATTTTCATTTTTACAGCAGCACTTATCTTTTTTCTGATGGCTCATCTAAGGCTCAGAGAGCTGGGTGATATCCTGAAGGTCACACAGCCAGTCCTGGTTCAGGCAAATCAGAGGCCTTTCCTAGACTGTGTTGCTCCACTGGGAGTTAGCTAGGGTCTGCCGCAGACTGACCAGGATGGAAGATAAGTGATTTCTACCAGGCTCGGGAGGCTAAAGAGTTTC